TAATCACATATCCCTTTTGAACAGTTCTCTCCCTAATCTGTTTCAATGCAGTATATATTATTTATCCCTTCTTTCTCAGTCTTCCTTCCACCCCTATGTCAGTCCCATTTTACAACAGTGGCTCTATGAAATATTTGTCCTTTTGTGACTGAAATAGTTAACTCAGCATAACGTCCTCTAGCGTCACCCATTTTGTATAATATTTCTTGAGTTCCTTGTTTTTCAATGCTGCATAGTATACCAGTGTATGAATATACCAGAACACTCTATCCATTTGTTTGTTGATGCGCAATAGGGTTGTTTCCAACTCTTTGTTATTGTAAACAAAGCAGCAATAAATGGGTGTACACATATCTGCTTGGATGGCGATTATTGTTTCTTTAGGGTATATTCCCAGTAGTGGAATTGCTGGGTCAAATGGTATTTCTATTTGCAACTTTTTGAGAAAGTGCCATACTGCCTTCCATAAATATATATATGTCATTTCCTTCCTAATTAAAATTAAAGCTATACTTTATCTTTTTTATTTGGAAGCAGCTTCGGTAAGCCCTCACTGCAGCAACTATGATAAATACGAAAACAATAGGCATATTTAACAAATTGTAACTGAACTTCTGGAGTGTTTTCAGAGCGTAAATCACATAGAAAGAGACTGCTCATTTTTTTATAGGAATAGTTTCAAGATTTGAACCACCTGCCTTTGGGCTGGCAGCACAACTCTATCCAGTGGACCATCAGAACTTTTTATATTACACTTAAAGAACCCTAGAAACAAGAAATCATTCTTTCATATCAATTCACGCTTATTGAGTTGGTTACAATTTATGATGAGTCGCCACAGTTTCTGAGGCTATATAAGTCTTAACGGGAGGAAATTCCCCATGATGTTTCTGGTGGGTTCCAATCCAAGAATGTAATTTTGACCTTGAGGACACAACAATTGCAAATGTCTGATGAAATTTATCCTGATCTCTGATCAATCTTCTTCCCTGACAATTTCCACAGGAGGGCAACCATTTACTCCAGTGCTGTAGTAATTTAGCACCAGAATTTTTCATTTGATCCCAAGATCTAAATCATACCTTTCCATTAAATTGTTTCTCCTTGGAGTTTATCTGAACTTGATTACT